TATGAAAACCTTTAATAAACAACCTTCCGATGGGACGCCCGTCGGATTAACGGGAATTGGGGAGAACACGCGGCGGATGGTCTGAAAGGGTGATTTCTGAATCCGAGGGCCGGCTTGCAGGGTTTTTTGGGGAATTTTCAGGGTATTTTCTGCCATTTTTGCATCTTTCTCGGCACCGCCTCCCGTTTAGCATACACAGATTTTCCGAGCTCAGTTTTGTTTACCACTTTTGACCACCGTACCCTGCTTGGCTACCGTACCCCCAATATACCTGTGGTTTGGGGCGCAAACTTACCGTCGTGGTGGTGGTGGTAGTAGTAGTCGTAGTAGTAGTAGTAGTCGTCGTCGTGGTCGTAGTCGTCTTAAAAGTACGCTACTTTCCAAATTGCAGTTCGAGCCAAGGTACCGTAGTGGTCGTAGTGGTCGTAGTGGTAGTCGTAGTAGTCGTCTAAAAATGGTAGATCAGCCCGGAAATTCCGCAAGAATCTCTGCTAGCCTGCCTCGGCTACCAGTTTTTAAACTTTTGGCTGCAGCCCTACCGTATCCACAACAACCGGCTACCGTACCCCATTACCTTACCCCCGTTACCGTACCCCAATAAAGACTGCCCTGACTACCTGGCTGAAGCTACCGTACATGTCGCTACCGTACGTCAGTTACCGTACCCCTACCCTACCGTAAGACGGCTCACCATACGTTCAAGCTACCGTACTAAAGCTACCGTACCCCGAGCTACCGTACCTACGCGTAGCATCTTGTCTTTTTTAGCCTTTTTAAAACGTACTGTCGTCGTTGTCGTCGTTGTTGTCGTCGTTGTTGTAGTCGTGGTCGTGGTCGTAGTTGTCTTAAAAGTACGGTATTTTCCAAATTGCAGTGTCAATGTACCGTAGTGGTCGTAGTAATCGTAGTGGTTGTCGTTGAAGTCGTTGTAGTCGTCTAAAAATGGTAGATCAGCCCGGAAATTCCGCAAGAATCTCTGCTAACCTGCCTCTGCTACCAGTTTTTTCAACCTTTTCAACGTGGAAAACCTACCGTAGTCGTCGTAGTTGTCGTAGTTGTCGTGATGGTGGTCGTCGTAGTCTAAACCACAAAATTCGACACATTTCAAAGCCCCGATTTTGTCATTTTTGAAGTTTTAAGGCAGTTTTGGGTACGGTAGCCGGGTACGGTAGCCAGCTCTCAGAATTTATTACTCCTTTTTTCCGTTGTTTTTTGGGATACGGTGGCCATTTTGATTCAATCTTTCAATTTCTTTGTAGACAATGATTTTGCTAAAATTCAAACCGTCGTCGTCGTCGTGGTCGTAGTTGTTGTAGTCGTACTTGTCGTCGTCGTCTAGTAAAAACGTATGTATTTTAGCTAGAGCGATAGAGAGAGAGAGAGAGAGAGAGAGAGAGAGAGAGAGAGAGAGGAGAGCAAGAGTGTGAGATTGGGAGATAGATGAGAGAACGGGCAAAAGAGATGAGAGAGAGAGTGAGAGAGAGAGAGAGTGAGAGAGCGAGAGAGAGCTTTCCTGAACTCACCGGAGTCGTCGTGGTCGTCGTCGGCTTTGGCGTCGTCGTCTAGCAGGGCAAAAATTTCTTGTTCAATCCCAATTTAAATTTTTTACTGTTTTATGATAAAACTGTTTTAATATTGCCAAACGGGAGGCGGTGCCGTGCATCCAAAATTTTAAAAATAACAGTAGCTGCTCACCGATGGCTTGCACGTGGTCGTCTTGTACTGAAATAAATTTTTTTAAAAATCTAATTCATATGGATTCTGAATCATTTGCCGACACCGCCCCTTCAAAATGCATGTTTTAAAGGGATGGTGACAGCAAGAAATTTTCGAAAAATTTGCTTACGTTCGGGTTCGGGACCCAGATTATGCGCGCCGCCGGCCGGGGGGCGACAACCACCTGGAAATTTGCATATTTTGGGCCTTGAATTCAGACCTGCGAGGCTTTGATGTTGATCCCAGCATCAGCAACCTAAAAAAATGGTTTGTAGCAGCTTTTTGCGAGTTCCCGAAATGCTCTCTGCTAGCCTGCCATTTCCTAAGGAATCTCCGCTAGCCTGCCCTTTCCTAAAGAATCTCTGCTAGCCTGCCCTTTCCTAAAGAATCTCTGCTAGCCTGCCCTTTCCCAAAGAATCTCTGCTAGCCTGCCCTTTCCTAAAGAATCTCTGCTAGCCTGCCCTTTCCTAAAGAATCTCTGCTAGCCTGCCTTTTCCTAAAGAATCTCTGCTAGCCTGCCCTTTCCTAAAGAATCTCTGCTAGCCTGTCTCCACCAACCTGATAAAAAACCGGAAGCAGGCAGAGGAAAAGCGCGAGCCGAAGCATTGCGCTTCTGGCTCGAAGAAATGGTCAATTCTATCGGCTTACCATGCTTTTATATTTGCATAAACCCCCTGAAATTATCGCGATTTCCCAGCAATTAGCCGCGTGGCTTTTCGGGTCTTTAATGGCAAGCTTCGCTTTTGCGCGAAGTGTGGGAAAATTTTTATATGCCCACCCCCGATGCTGGAAAATTGCCATTAAAACGTTGCAATTTCGAGGAAAGAAGATTATGTGGAATTTCGGGCAAAAGATGAAAAAGATTCCCAAAAACCTTTGCTAGCGTGCCCGAGCTGTAAATTCCTGAGAAATCTCTGTTGGCATCCCAAGGCTTGATCGTCGAAAGGGGCTGAGAGAGCGCACGAGAGAGAGCGAGAGAGAGCCAGAGCGGGCGAGAGAGCGATAGGGATAGTGCGAGAGCAAGAGAGAGAGAGCGAGAGAGTCGCAGAGAGAGAGAGAGAGAGAGAGAGAGAGAGAGAGAGAGAGAGAGAGAGAGCGATCCATAGAGAAGGCGGGACACAGAAAGAGAGGGCGAAAGAGCGAGAGAATGTATGAATAGAGAATGTAAGAGAGCGATAAGGAGGGTGAGAGAGCGAGAGAGAGCGAGAGCGAGACAAAGAGAAGGCGGGAGAGATTAAGAGAGAGGAGGGGGAGAGAGAGCGTGAGAAAGAGAGAGAAAAAGAGAGAGTTAGAGAGAGAGAGAGAGAGAGAGAGAGATAGAGAGAGAGAGAGAGAGAGAGAGAGAGATAGAGAGAGAAAGCCTACCGCGCTTCCCCTTTCTCTAAGACCCTTCTTTTCCAAATAATCTCCGCTGGCCTGCCCACCTTTCAAAAGGTAGCAATGTCCGAAACACCTCCAAAATCCTAAACCGGCCCCGTCTGAATCCATAATTCCGCGCGGCTCCCCTGAACACCCATTTTTGTTTGGCGTTTCCCCCGGAAATCCTTAAAATTCACCAGCCTGCCCAATCCCTTTAAAATGGCGAAAGTGAGAGCCGAATAGCCATTCTAAAAAATGCGCTCTATTCCGTTGCTGGTGGCCGTGTTGGCCATAGGTTTGAGCATTAAAGTTGTATATAGTGTAGTTTCTTTGTATTTTGTATTTATATATCACCTTTTTGCATTTATATAATTTATACACTTTTATAAGCTTTGGCAGATTAGTATCATCATTTTTCGACCCGGAAAAATTTGAAGGTTCTGAAGTTATTTTTAAATACTATCAAAATTCAAAGTTTCTTTAAACCTATGATCAAAAAATCTATATAAGTAAAAACTCTGGGCTGGACTTAGGCTTCGGCTCGGCTTAGGCTAAGGCTTAGGCTTAGGCTTAGGCTTAGGCTTAGGCTTAGGCTTAGGCTTAGGTTAAGCTTAGGCTTAGGCTTAGGCTTAGGCTTAGGCTTAGGCTTAGGTTAGGGTTAGGCTTAGGCTTAGGCTTAGGCTTAGGCTTAGGGTTAGGCTTAGGCTTAGGCTTAGGCTTAGGCTTAGGCTTAGGCTTATGCTTAGGCTTATGCTTATGCTTCGGCTTACTTAGGCTTAGGCTTAGGCCTAGGCTTAGGCTTAGCTTAGGCTTAGGCTGAGGCTTAGGAAGGAAATACTACTTTACAGGTGTCGCGAGCAAATGCTGGAGAAAGACGCCTGGGCCTCAGCAATGGCCGGGGCGCCCTGTATGTTTACCACATTTTAATAAGGGTTTGGATTTTTCTTTTTCGCTTCTCAAGTTTTTTTAAAAGTTCAGTGAAATTCTGACGTCAAAAGCCGTACCTTATTTTCTAACAAAAAAATACATAACGTTAATTTCAATTTCAGGCCTCCCTGAAAGGTTGGTGGTGGTGGTGAACTATTTCTGGTGTTTACTTTCGATTTTTCTGCTTCTTTTTTTTGGGTTTTTTTCCCGTGCCTCAGCCTAAGCCTAAGCCCGAAGCGACGCAATTTTCAGACTGCAATTGCCACGCATTCGAGCCGAGGCAGATCGATGCGCCACGTAAACGCGGCGGGCCCGGGAACCACGGAAATCGTACCCAGAATTTCCCGAACTCTCAAACCCGTCATGGGCCTTCTACCGTATCCCCATGGTTGATTGGATTGCCGGTTTTGAGGGGAAAGAGACAGGCCGATGATGAGCACCAGGATCTGTTGGAGTAGGTTAAGGGGGGAGAGAGAGAGAGAGAGAGAGAGAGAGAGAGAGAGAGAGAGAGGGAGAGAGAGAGAGAGCGTGATAGGGAGTGAGAGAAGTGACGGAGAAAGAGAGAGAAAGAGAGCGTGAGAGTGAGAGAGAGAGGGAGAGAGAGAGATAGAGGGAGAGAAAGAGAGAGAGAGAGAAAGAGAGGGGAAGAGAGAGAGAGAGAGAGAGAGAGAGAGAGAGAGAGAGAGAGAGAGAGAGAGCGAGACCTTTCAGAGACGGACCAAAGTCGGTGGGCTCGATTGAAGACGTCCCGATCCGCGAGAAGCGCCAGCTCCATGAGTTAGTTTTACTTCAGGAGCATCAGCTGGAGTCTCGGCTAAGCCTGAGCTAAGCCTCAGCTAAGTCTAAGCTAAGCCTAAACCAAGCCTAAGCTGGCTCCGACTACCAAACCTAAAATTCCAGTTTATTGCATTTTTATTAGCCACTTTTTTCACATTTTGTCATTTTCCTCCCCCTTTAGACCCAACGCCGATCCGGCCGACGTTTCCGAGACGTTCAAGAATCCTGAGTAAGCCCGGCAAACCTTTCAAGAGTCAAAAAATAGTGCTTTCTCGGACCGCCCTCCCTGCACTTGCCCGGCAATGGCCACGGCGGGGCCCGGGGCCGTTCCCACAGAATCTCCGCTAGCTCCCCCGGCGCGGCGCAAGTTGAAATCGGTCCCGTTGGGACCGGTGGAGCCGGCTAGGCGCGTACTTCCCTAAAAATTAGCAGTTCTTGGCATTTTAAAGGGACGTTGAAGGCAGGGGCTGGCAAATTGCCAGCCCTGGTACGGCCCCTTTGAAATCACCGCGCATTTTTCGCTAATCCCCAGCGTGTTTTTCAGGCTGTCGGCCCGGGGCCCCGTCCACGATCCGGAGGACCCGAAGTGAGTTTGTTTGGAGTTTGAAGGGCAGGCTAGCCGAGATTCTTTAGGAAAGGGCAGGCTAGCAGAAATTCTTTAGGAAAGGGCAGGCTTGCAGAGATTCTTTAGGAAAGGGCAGGCTTGCAGAGATTCTTTAGGAAAGGGCAGGCTAGCAGAGATTCTTTAGGAAAGGGCAGGCTAGCAGAGATTCTTTAGGAAAGGGCAGGCTAGCAGAGATTCTTTAGGAAAGGGGCAGGCTAGCAGAGATTCTAGGAAAGGGCAGGCTAGCCGAGATTCTTTAGGAGGGCAGGCTAGCAGAAATTCTTTAGGAAAGGGCAGGCTTGCAGAGATTCTTTAGGAAAGGGCAGGCTAGCAGAAATTCTTTAGGAAAGGGCAGGCTTGCAGAGATTCTTTAGGAAAGGGGCAGGCAGCAGAAATTCTTTAGGAAAGGGCAGGCTTGCAGAAATTCTTTAGGAAAGGGCAGGCTTGCAGAGATTCTTTAGGAAAGGGCAGGCTAGCAGATATTCTTTAGGAAAGGGCAGGCTAGCAGATATTCTTTAGGAAGGGGCAGGCTAGCAGAGATTCTGTAGGAAATTTCGGATTTTTAGCGTCGGCGCTGAACACCCTCATGACGAGGTCCTGCGCGAGGAGCGACTGTAAGCTACCACTGCTTAGAAAGGGAGATCGTGACAAAGAAAGAGAAACGGAGAGGGAGAGAGAGAGAGAGAGAGCGAGAGAGAGACAGAAGAAAAATTTCTACAGAGCTGGCACCCGAGTGCCTGGCCATGACTTGGCTCCGGAAGACGAATCGCTGAAGCTGTAGGCTTTTTCAATTTTTACAGAATTTTGTCGTACAAGGCAGGCTAGCAGTGAACATTTGAGAATTTCAGGGCTCACACGGGCATGCCGCGCGACGCCTTCGCCCCGGAAGAGAAATCGTTGAAGCTGTGGGTTTCTGGGTTTAAACTTAGTGGCCAATAGCGCAGCCTGGCATTGGCATGGCTTAGGGTTCAGCTTCGGCTTAGGCTTAGGCTTACGCTTAGTTATCGCTGACTGCAAGTCTCATTCAGGGCCGGCACCCGAGTCCCAGGCCATGGCTTCGTCGGAGACGATCTCTTGCAGAAACGGTGAGTTTTTAAGTTCGAAGATACTTAGGCGTTAGCTTAGGCAGCTTAGGCTAGGGCTTTAGCTTTGGCTTAAGTTTTGGCTTAGGCCTGGGCCTAGGAATAGGAATGCGCTTAGGCTTAGGCTTAGCTCAGGCTTAGGCATAGGCTTAGACTTAGGCTTAGGCTTAATCGTCATTTAGGGCCGGCACTCGAGTCCCAGGCCATGGTTTCGTCGGAGACGATCTCCTCGAGAAACGGTAATTTTTTTCTCAGAAAGCTTGCGGGAATTCTTGAGGATAGGTTAGGCTTAGGCTTAGGCTTAGGCTTCGGCTTGCCTAAGGGTTAGGCTTAGGCATAAGCTTAAGCTTAAGCTTTGACTTAGGTTAGGCTTAGGCTTAGGCCTAGTCCTCAGCTTAGCTTAGGCTTAGGCTCAAGCTTCAGCTTCGGATGTGGCTTAGGCTTAGTCTTCATTTAGGGCCGGCACCCGAGTCCCAGGCCATGGCTTCGTTGGAGACGATCTCCTCGACAAACGGTAAGTTTTTCCTCAGAAAGATTGCGGGAATTGTGGCGGATAGGTTGGGCTTAGGCTTAGGCTTAGCTTAGCCTGGCTTGGCTTAGGTTTCGGCTTAGTGTAGGCTTCGGCTTTGGCTTCGGCTCAGGCTTGGGCTTTGGCATACCCTTAAGCCTGGATTATTCTTGGCGGGGCCAAGAAGCGAATTTTTAATTATGAAAATTAAGTAAGAAACGTGAAAACTAAATTTTCTACTGCAAACTTTAAAACCTATAAGTTTAAATTTAGCCCTCAGATTTAAAAACTTAAAACTTTTAAGTACCTAAATTTAAAACTAAATTTAGCCCGCCAAAAGTGGGTGTTCCGATCGACCGCTTCTTCCGCCTCACGACCGCTTCCACTCTTGTGTTCGATTGGCCGCAGAGGACCACGCACAATGCGCACAATGCACGGCCCTGGGAGTGGAGTTTGCCGACGGTAGGTGGCGGAGGGCAGGCTAGCAGGGATTCTTTAGGAAGGAGCAGGCTAGCAGAGTGATTTTAGGAATCTATGCAGCTAGCAAGAGAGCGTTTGACTCATTTCCAGGGTCGCCCCAACGTCAACGGTGTCTGCAGCCGGTACCGACGTAAAATCACCTGCCACTCGACGACCCCGTCCTTGCGAGCCATGCAGTCTCTCGTCCTCTACGACAAGGTGAGAAGGCACAGGGCTTAGGTTAGGCTAAGGCTTAGGCGTAGGCATAGGCATAGGCTTAGGCTTGGGCTTAGACTGAGGCTTAGCTTAGGCTTAGCTTAGGCTCAGCTTAGGCTTAGCTTAGGCTTAGCTTAGGCTTAGCTTAGGCTTAGCTTAGGCTTAGCTTGGGCTTAGCTTAGGCTTAGCTTAGGCTTAGCTTAGGCTTAGCTTAGGCTTAGCTTAGGCTTAGCTTAGGCTTAGCTTAGGCCTTAGCGGTAGCTTAGGCTAGCGGCAGCTTAGCTTGGAAGCAAGCTTAGGCTTAGCTTGGGCTAGGGCAGCTAGCTGGCTCAGCTTGAGGCTGACAGGCGGACAGCTTGCAAAGCCAGGGCTTGGCTTAGGCTCAGCTGAGCCGCAGCTTAGGCTTAGCTGAGCAGGGCCTGAAGCTAGGCCCAGCTTAGGCCACAGCAGGCTTAAGCAGGCCTAGCTTGAATGGAGCTTGGCTAGCTTGGAGGCTCAGCTTGGGCTTAGCTTAGGCTTAGCCCAGGCTTAGCTTAGGCTACTAGGCTTAGCTAGGCTTAGCTTAGGGCTTAGCTTGAGGCTAGCTAGGCTAGCTTAGCGCGGCTTAGGAGGCGGAAGCTAGGCCCTTAGGATTGAGGCTAGCCTAAGCTTAGCCAGGCTGGAGCTTGGCGCAGCTTAGGCTTAGCTTAGGCTTAGCTTAGGCTTAGCTTAGGCTTAGCTTAGGCTTAGCTTAGGCTTAGCCTAGGCTTAGCCTAGGCTTAGCCTAGGCTTATCTTAGGCCTAGGCTAGGCTTAGGTTAGGCTTAGCCGACTTCGGCATGGGACCAAGCGTATCTTGTGCAGAATTTTGCGCTGATTCCGAAGATAGTTACCGTTTTTGCGGAATAACCGTTTTTGAAAATTAGGAACGATTTATACCTAAAAACGCCCCAAAAACGGCTACTTTCGATGGAAATAAAAGGCTTCGGAATCGTTTTTTTGTTTTTGAAAAATTAGCCAGTGCTACTTGTTCAGCAAAATTAGTCATAAATACTAGCATTTCCTTGAAAAGATATTAAAATTGCAAAATGCCCCGAATTTTTTCCAAAATGTCGGGAATTCCGAAAGTTCCGCATTTACAGCGCCGGGCAAACCGGGGCCCAGTCACGCCTCACTCCCCTCTTTCCCGCCCCGCTCCTCCGCTGCCCACTTGCACGGGTGGTATAGTGGTTCTGTCGGGGGCTCCCCGCCCGCATCACCCGGGTTCGACCCCCCGCCGCGGCACTTCGAAGACATCTCGGGCTATCCCCAACGGCCCCCGGTGTTCAAAAGGATGCCTACAGTAACCAGCGTGGTATCAATTGCAACCCCATGATGGGGATGTGATCATCTAAATCGTTGAACATTTTTGCTTTTTTGCCAGTTTTTGCTTGCATCAATCACGGCAGGCTAGCAGAGACAATTCAGGATTAGCTATCAGATTCCCGGATTTCCAAAATCACAAATTTTCAGTACTACAAAGAGGTCTACCAAGTGGGCTCGTGCAGCAAGAATTTGACGGTGGGAATCTCTTGCGATGGCAAAGACTCTTACTATACGGTGTTGGACAAGCCGGTAAGCAGATTTCATAGGGGGGCAGGCTAGCAGAGGTTATTTGGGAAAGGCTAGCAGCGATCACCATTTGGGAGCTGATAAGGCAAAGTAGCAGTGATTATTTGGGAATTTTCAGGACATCGAGTTCGCGTTCTTCTCCTGCGCCCTCGAGGCGGACCTCAACTGCCCTGCATAATTCGAAAATTGTTCAAAATGCGAATTTTGCGCATAAATGGCTGCCATATCTGGGTTTAAATGCGTTTTATCGGTTCCCGGCAGACAAGCAGAGATTCTTTAAGGAAGGGCAGGCTAGCGGAGATTCTTTAAGAAAGGGCAGGCTAGCAGAGATTCTTTAGGAAAGGGCACGCCAGCAGAGATTCTTTAGGAGCCAACGTCCAAAATTGTTTATTCAAATTCACCCGTTCCCATTTGCCTCGCTGTCCCGTTTCTCCCTAATGAGGGCGTAGCGGTGGCAGAGCAGGATGAGAATAAACACGGAGAGCACGGATAATAGAGAAATCACAGAGCACCACACGATCAACCCGTCCAGCTCGTGACCCGTCCAGTCGGCTGGCGGACCCGAATCTGGAAAATATAGAGGATTCTTTGACTTCAGGGAGAGAGAGAGAGCGAGAAAGAGAGAGAGCGACAGAGAGACAGACAGAGACAGAGAGCGAGAGAGAGCGAGAGAGAGAGAGAGAGGGAGTGCGAGCGGGAGGGAGAAATATATAGCCTACCTGGCGCGGCGCCTGGCTTAAACCCGTCTAGCGTCAAGTGCGAGCTGTTCGGAGCCTAAACAGCAGATGACACATCACAAAAATAGACCATTTTGATAGCGTTTTACATAGTTTTTTTGCGTATAAAAACTATAAAAAGAATAAGAATTTTGGATTATTGAGTTTTTGGTCAAAAATGTATAAAAATGACCAAAAAGTTTAAAATTTTCGAGTTACAACATTTTAAAATATTGTTATAGTTTTCTAGTCATCAAAAACTAATAAAAACATTATGAAATACACAATGTATCATCAACAGACAGCGGTGGTCCCCCCCGCTAACAGTCCAGAACCGCTATTTCCTCAAAAACTCACGCTAGGTACGATACGCTCCGTAATTACGATTTTTTCCAATGCATTAAAATGAGCCCTAAGACTACGGTAGCCTACCAAGAACGTGTCATTCAGCCACTCGACCGGAATCGGGATCCCAGTGTCCATATTTCCGAGGCCCGGCTTGTGGAAGCCGCCTGAATTTGCATTTTTACAACTTAAAAACTGGCAATAAATCATGAATCCGTCATTTGTAAATTTGATGTAATTTAAATGACCTGCTCCCGGTCGATTGGCCCTCCCTGCCGCCTTCTCCGCCTTGAATACCCGCAAATTGGAGGCGTTGTCTGGAAATTGTATTGCTGAATTAACGGCATTGTTCTGCCAAATAAAAAATGCTAGTAAATCGGTAAATTTTGTTTTTGATGAATTTTGAATAAACGCCTCAGTATTTTGTAAGTTTCGATCTTCAAAATCAAATCACTCTCTTTCTCTCTCTCTCTCTCCCTCTGTCTCGCTCTCTCTCTCTCTCTCTCCCGCTCTCTATCTCTCTCACGCTTTCTCTGAGGCTATCTCTCTCGCTCTCTCTCTCTTTTCACTCTCTCTCGCCTGCTTTCTCTCTCGCTCTCTCCCGCTCGCTATCTCTCTCACGCTTTCTCTGAGGCTCTCTCTCTCGCTCTCTCTCTTTTCACTCTCTCTCGCCTGCTCTCGCTCTCTCTCTCTCTCGGCTTTTGCATAGGCTTGGCCTAAGCTTAGGCTTAGGCTTAGGCTTAGGCTAAGACTTGGGCAAATTATAATTTGCCTTTTTCACGCTTTTCACTCTTTCAGAACGTTAAAAGTATTGTCACGTAAAAACCATTTATCTCAACTAGCGTCGCAATGATGACAATTAGACAAAAATCATACGGTAGGTATACGGTATGTACAACTCCAGGACAAAAAAACGGCATGCAATCCGGGGGATATGCAAATTAGGGGCGGGGGTGGGGTGAATTGACGTTGGAGCACCGGTAAAATTCGGCTAATTCTTGAGAAAACAGTAGTTTCGATGATTAGCGTAATAAGCTTTAAAAGGTGGTCCAGAAATTCAAATATTTTGACGATTTTGCTTTTATTTATTTCGTACAAATATGAATAATTTTAGTTCTAGTAAAAAAGACATGGAGATCACAGATGCGTTGACCAAAGGAGCACACAAAAATTCAGATTTCACTTTACAGGGCAACCAAATAGGTAAAATATGCAAATCACGCGGATTGGGAAGATCCTGCGAATTATGCAAATTATGAAAATTATGTAAATTAGCGTGGAGCCGCCGGTGGGGTGCCCTTGCCGGAGCTTCTGCTGCTTTGTCGCATTTTCCGGACTAGGCAGCACACGAGCAGGAGCAGAACGACGAGGAGGGTGCAGACGATCAGGATACCGTACACCAGGATCAGTGTACGCGTGGCTCCTGTGTCGATTGGCTGCCGGATAAGGTCGCCGCCGTTTCCGGTGATTGTTGGGGTACTGTAATTACCAAGAAATAGCGCCCTTACCTCAAAATTATGTGCGAGCCTGCCCTTTCCTAAAGAATCTCTGCTAGCCTGCCCTTTCCTAAAGAATCTCTGCTAGCCTGCCCTTTCCTAAAGATTCTCTGCTAGCCTGCCCTTTCATAAAAAATCTCTGCTAGCCTGTCCTGCCCACTTATCTGAAATCTACTCACCTGTCCCCCTCCTTCTCTCCAGAATTCGAGTTACCCGGTGGATTCTTGAAAAGTTTATGCGGATCGATGCTTCGCCCTAAAATGCAAAATTTTGGGAAATTTGGGAAAAATCCAGAAAACACACCAATTCCAGCGTCTTTAGGATGGTGTTGTGGCTCTTCAGGCAATTCCCTGGATTTTGCGATGATTACGGTAGGAATTACCGCAAGGTGTTCGGGGTAGTGATCGAGCTGGAAAGATGTTGGTGAGAGAGAGAGAGAGAGAGAGAGAGCGAGAGAGAGAGAAACCTACAGTCTTCCCCTCCTCGGGTAAATATTCGTAATCCGGCGCGTCGAGTAGCCCATCGATTTCCTGCTGCCGGTTTTGGTCGTAGATTATCGATGCTTGGCTCCGGCCTTCCTCGGCTTAAAAATCAAAGTCCAAAAAATTTTTAGTTTGAAGCACTGAAGCCTAAAATTGCTCTGAAATACCGTACCCCTAGCCTCCGAGCTTCTCTCGTTCATCGGCCGGATCTGCTTGATGTGTATTTTTCGGTTCTGGAATAGCGGCGTAGCGGCGGAGGGGCTTTCACTGGAATCAGGAGGTTGGCTTAGCTTAGGCTTAGGTTTTGGCTTAGCCTTAGGCTTAGGCTTAGGCTTAGGCTTAGGCTTAGGCTTAGGCTTAGGCTTAGGCTTAGGCTTAGGCTTAGGCTTAGGCTTAGGCTTAGGCTTGGGCTTAGGCTTAGGCTTAGGCTTAGGCTTAGGTTTAGGCTTAGGCTTAGGCTTAGGCTTAGGCTTAGGCTTAGGCTTAGGCTTAGGCTTAGGCTTAGGTTAGGCTTAGGCTCAAGCATATGCTTAGGCTTTGCCTTAGACATAAGCATAGGCTTAGACTTAAGCCTTCTCCCCACCTGCTCTTCCTATCCAAAATCGGCTGATGCTTCACCGTCGTGGCTTCCACCGCTTCCAGCTTCTCGCCGCTTTTCCCAGCAATTTCTACCTCCAGCGGGTCCTTGAATTTTCGAGGGCCTTTCTTGACGACGATTCGCCGAGTTGTGACTCCATTTTTCAGATAGGTCTCCTGAAACGAGGAGATTTGGGCTCGTCAAATGCCCTTTGCTAGCCTGCCCACCCGATCTCCAAACTCACAATTGTTGTATAAAGCCTTGTGACGGGTTTTTGTGTCGTCATCGGATACGGTGTCGGGCCGGAATTCGCCCAGTTTGTCGTGTAGTACCACCACCTAAAAGGCGGCGGATGCAAATTAGGGTGAAATTACAGTACTCCCTGCAGGCCAAAATGCAAAATACGATTTACTGGGTTGTATTGCACTAATAGTAGGGGATGCTAACGAATTCTGCAGTTACTTACCATCCGGTGAAGAGGGAAAAGGCCGATGGGGTACTGCAGGGAGGGAAATTGTGGAATTGGACCTTGAGGGAGAAAGAGCGAGAAATAGAGAGAGAGAGAGAGACAGAGACAGAGTGAGAGAAAGAGAGAGGGAGTGAGAGAGATGGGGCGAGAGAAATGGAGCGAGAGAGAGAGAGAGAGAGAGAGAGAGAGAGAGAGAGAGAGAAAGAGAGCGAGAGAGAGCGAGAAACAGCGTGAGAGAATGAGGGAGAGCTAGAGAGCCAGAGAAAGAGAGATGGAAAGAGGGGGAGAGAGAGACATACAGAGAGAGAGAAACAAAAACCTACTGATGCTCCTTCGGGATCAGCCCAATTCGGTACGTAGAATAGTGAAAATTCGGAGGCGTAATCTCAAAATCCTCATCCGACGAGAACAGCTTCTTCCGCGTCGTTTTCGCAATCGGAATTTCGGTGAAATCTGAAAACCCAAAAAATCGGATTCTTACGAAATTTTAGCAGATTGAAACTGGCCTGGAATTACTGTATTTTTACTATTTCTCATTTTTTGGTAACGCAATTAACATGCCAAGCAATAATAAAACCCAAAAACAAGCAAAAACACGAAATTCAACTAATATAAAGTACCAAAATAAAAATGCAAAAATATAACACAGAAATGACAAATACTTAAGCAACTAAAAAACGCACACAAAAACTAAAAACACAAATAAAAATATTATTTGCACTTTTTCTACATGCTTACTGTTATTGGTCGCATTCCTTGAATAAAATGCGTTAATAGCCTCTGAAAAACACGCAAAATGCAACACCGAGAAAAATCGACCGTATTAAAGGGACGGCGACACCCACAGCAAACATTTTCCGTGCAAAATTGGTGCTCAAATGCTCTTTGCTAGCCTGCTCGAATCCACAATAGCCTCTGCTAGCTGCCCACCTTCAACCCGTTGATCATCTCCAAACTCTTGTCGATTCGTGGACGTCTCTGTATGGAAAGCGCCGTTCTCGCCGTCTTTCGCCGTCGGTAGCAGTTCAACGGAAGACACGTCGGCTGGAGCGACTTCAGCGAGTTCACTGAAAAGTGCCGCATATTGTCATCAGTGTACGCTACTTTCCATCATTGTACGCACTACGTTTTACGCATTAAACCTATTTTACGTTACTGTACGCAATTCCTCGCTTCTGTACCTTGCTGTACGTTATGATAAACCATGGTACGCTACGGTATTACATGGTCCGTTTGCGTAAGTTAACGTACTCTATTGTACGTTACTGTACGTTAATGCGCCCGTGTACGTTAGGCTACGTTAGCGTACGTTCATGATACAGAATAACTTACGAGTCTCTACCAATCGTCACCGTCTCTGCTGCATCGGTTGGCAGCAGGTAGGGGCGAGCCGGGGCTAAAATTCCGCATTTATCTCTCTCTCACTCTTTCTCGCTCTCTCTCTCTCTTTCTCTCTCTCACTCTCTCGCATGTCAAAGCCACAAAAACCGACCTATCTGCCCTCCACTCCTCTCGACAATAAAATCCTCAAAGCTTTTCCCGTCGATCGCCTCCTGGGAGAGCAGAAAGTCGACGTCGAGGTCATCTGGAGTGGCGGTGGGCGGATGATCGAGGGCGTCTTCGATTTCCCCGGATACCGCGGTGGGTTGCAGATCCTGAATTGAAGAATCTCGGCTAGCCTCCCCTTCCTAAAGAATCTCTGCTAGCCCGCCCCACTCTACCTTTATCATAAACCCAGCCGCTCTCTGTGTCGTCGTCTTCTGACTAGGCTTCGGCGTTACAGTCGATTTCCGGTCGGCTCCTGTCGACGATGGGATCACCACTTCGGAGCCGTATTTTGGAGCTGATTGGGTGGTAGAGGAACTTGCTGGCGCTGTACTTCTTGGAGATGGGGTGGCTAAAGGTAATCCACAAATTTTCATATCCTAACAAGCGAACCTTTGGGCTCATTTTTCGGGACCAGCACCGTAGTCGTTTTCGTGGTCGTCGCTTCTGTGTAGATCTTGAAATTAATTTCATGTATTGAGCGCAAAAATAGCAATAAAATAATATCAAGAAAAATTAAGCAAAAACTACCTCTGTAATTTCCACCTCCTTCCCGTAGACGGGCCTCAGAGGTAACGTGGAATTGTCGGCCAGCATCGTCTCGTTCGACGGCTTCTCGTCCTCCTTCTTTTTCTTTTTCTTCTTGTCGTCCTCCTCGTCTTTTTCCTTGCTCTCCTTTTCTTTCTCTTTCTCCTCTTGCCGCTCCTTTTGGTCCTTCATTACATCGGAGACGCCTTCGATCTGAAAAACAGGATTCCTAAATGGTCTCTGCTAGCCTGCCCTTTCCTAAATAAATCTCTTCTAGCTTGCCCCTTCCTAAAGAATCTTGGCTAGCCAGCCTACCGCTTTCCCATGATCATCTCCACGCCCTCCATCGTCATCCCTTGCTTTTCCACGATTCCGATTCCGGTTCTTTTGACGTGCCCTGAAGAGGACCCTGTAACTGGAACCTTTAAAACCCACTTCAGATCTTTAGCCGTGTAATGAATCCTCGGGGTCAACGTCGGGAACAGGGTCGTGCTTCTTGTACGTTTTGAGCTCTTGGTGGTGACGTCGGCCTCTTCCAGTTTGTCAAGCTTTTCCAGCTCTCCCCTGAGGTCCGCCAGATCGTCTTGCTTTTTGACCGGGTGATCTGGGAAATAGAAATAGGACTTGCTATCATGCTCGCTAGGTCTCCCTCACCCTCTCTCTCTCTCTCTCTCTCTCTCTCTCTCTCTCTCTCGCTACCTGAACTGCTTGACGACGCTTTTGTACTCGTTTCCAGCTCTTTTTCCGTCACAAACTCAGACCTGAAAATTCATGATTATGCGATAAAGAGAGAGAGAGAGAGAGAGAGAGAGAGCGAAGCGAGAGAGAGAAACTCACCTTTCGTGTTGCTCCAACCGCTCGAGCTCTTCCTCAATAAAAGTCGAGCTCTCCAAAAATCGGGCGGCTACGGTAGACGTAGATGGGGTCGGTGAATAAAGATTCGACTGAAAAAGCGATTTTAGGGCTCCTAGCAGAGATCATTGAGGAAACTTACCAAAGATCGATCCTTCGGCTGCTTCGTGTTCTTCGGGAAGACGGGCTGCACGAAGTCGTACACCTAATATGCACCTACTTATACCTTAATCCGAAAATTCTCACTTGGCAAGCGTCCAAATCCTCATCGTCGAACAGCGTATCGTCATCGGGGACGATGAAATTCAAAAAGTAGTCGCGGAAGTTGAGCCTGGATTTGGGATACTGGCTTTTAAAGGGGCAGGGAAGTCCGTTTGCTATGGATTTTTGTACTCCGAAGCCGTTGTAGTCTGTGGTTTACCTTGTGAAGATATGTTCAGCATTTGGGCAGTGTGAAAGCACGGCGTTTTCAAGGCACAGGGCGTTGAGGTGGACGTAGCTGAAAATCGGGGTTTTCGGAGAGCTGGCTTGGGCTTAGCTTAGGCTTATTAGGCTTAGGCCTCGCTTAGGCTTAGGCTTAATATTAGGCTCAGGCTTAGGCTTAGGCTTAGGTTTAGGCTTCGGCCTACGCATACACTTAGGCTTAGCTTAGGCTTGGGCTGAAGCTCAGCTTCAAGACTTAGCCACTCTAACTCACCGGCAAGTATCCTGATCTGGCGTAAATTTGGTCCCAATCCGCCTTCGTAACTTTACAGCTTCCTAAAATCCGAAAATCGAAGAAAAAGATTTTCCTTACTTTCATAAACGAAGAGCATCGAACTTCCATAAATGTGTGATACTTCGAGATACAGTGTAGCTCGGCGTCCATGTCTAAGATTCAGTTCATCCTCTCTCTCTCTCTCTCTCCCTCTCTCTCTCTCCCTCTCTCTCTCTACTCTCTCTCTCGCTCTCTCCTCTCTCCCTCCTCTCCCTCTCTCTCTCTCTCCCTCCCTCCCTCTCTCTCTCCGTCTCTCCTCCTCCCTCCCTCTCTCTCCCCCCTCCTCTCTCTTCTCCCTTCCCTCACCTTCTCTCTCTCTCTCACTCTCTCTCTCGCTCTCTCTCCCTCTCTCCCTCCTCCCTCTCTCTCTCTCTCCTCCTCCCTCCCTCTCTCTCCTCTCCGTCTCTCCCTCCCTCCCTCCTCTCTCTCTCTCCCTCCCCTCTCTCTCTCCCTCTCTCTCTCTCCCTCTCTCGCTTACCATGCATGGCCTCAAGACATTGACGCTCGGAGTATTTGACAAATTTCTCGAACCCCTTTGGCTCCTCGTCACAGTGCTTCATACAGTCGAAGAGGTCGTAGAGGCGCCTGAATTTGAGGGCTAGCTAGCAGAGATTCCTTAGGAAGGACAGGCGCTGGCGTCCCAGTCCCTTTAATTATCCAAATTTTTAGTTCGAGACTTTTGTTTGCATTGTTTTTAGACCCTCTCGGATTTCCACACTTTTCTGGGTGCTCGGATTCCCTGGAGCAACAGCTGGTGCTCAACTCTACTATGCGACTTGGGTTTCCAGCTGTTTTTTTGGCTGTTAAGAGCTCAGAATAGACCCGAATAGGCTTAGGCTTAGGCTTAGGCTTATGCTTAGGCTTAGGCTTAGGCTTAGGCTTAGGCTTAGGCTTAGGCTTAGGCTTAGGCTTAGGCTTAGGCTTAGGCTTAGGCTTAGGCTTAGGCTTAGGCTTAGGCTTAGGCTTACCTTAGGCTTAGGCTTAGGTTTAGGTTTAGGCTTAGGCTTAGGCTTAGCTTAGGCTTAGGCTTAGGCTTAGGCTTAGGTTTAGGCTTTGGCTTAGCTTAGGCTTAGGACTAGGCATAGACATAGGCTTTAGCTAGACCTAGGTTTAGGCTTCGGCTTAGGCTTGGGTTTAGGCTTTTAATTAGCTTGTGCTTTGGAAGCTTAGCTGCTCCCAGTTCCCAAAGAATCTCTGCTAGCCCTCCCTCTCACCAGCACGCGTCTCGCAACCGCCCGGCCGGCTTCTGCCGATCCAGAAGCGTCGTCAGCCCGACGCGAGCCATGTCGGCCCGCCCCAGCGACCGGTCGTGCAGCCGGTAGCATCTCGCCACGCACGGGTCCTAAAATATAAAATTTGGCTCGAAAACTAAAAAAATGGGTGCTCATCATCTAAATTTATAATTTTCGAACTAAAAATATTCGAAACTATAAACTAAATCTGGACTTTCAAAAACGAACGGAAAAAAAAGAATTCGAAAAAATTCCTGCTCCGGGCTACACACTAAAACTCGACCTGCAGGTTGGGTGGTGATAGGTAGGTGAATTTTCGGAGTAGCTGCTAAATTTTGGGGCTGCGGGATAGGGAGAGTGATCGCTGCCAGCTTGGGCTTAGGCTGAGGCTTAGGCTTAGGCTTAGGATTCGGCTTGGGCTTAGGCTTAGACTTAGGCTTAGGCTTAGGCTTAGGCTTAGGCTTAGCCTTAGGCTTAGGCTTAGGCTTAGGCTTAGGTTAGGCTTAGGCTTAGGCTTAGGCTTAGGTTGGGCTTAGGATTGGGCTTGGGCTTAGGCTTGGGCTTAGGCTTAGGCTTAGGCTTAGGCTTGAGCTGCGGCTTAGGTCTAGGCTTAGGCTTAGGTTGGCCTTAGGCTTGAGCTGCGACTTAGGTTTAGGTTTCGGCTTCGGCTTAGGCCTAGGCTTAGGTCTCCATTACTAAAGATTACGAGCCGTCTCCCTTCCCTAAAAACCCCCGCTAGCCTGCCTATAGTCTCGTTCCTCCGAAACCCAATCTCCCATTCCCAGTTTAACTCATGATTTCGGAAATGGCATGCCCTCCGGGGCATGTTTTCGCTGGCTTTGTGGCATTACACCCTGGCATCTCTCTGTCACTTTCTCTCTCACTCTCTCTCCCTCTCTCTCCCGCCGTTCGCTTTCCCGCCCGCCAAAAAAAACGTGCGGAAAGCATGTGACAGATGCTTTTCGGGGGGTCTCGAACGAAAAATATTTTGCGGTGGGTTGGGTGTCGAACCAGGCGCAAATTGTCTCTGCTAGCTTGCTGTAACTAAACGGACTCACCTCGCCGTAGGCAAAGCCGACAAAAAGTAGGGGGAATAGATGTGTCCACGGGTTCATCGCGTAGCTTCGAGGGGGTGCATCGTATCTAAAAGCGAGCGATAGGTAGATGGAGAGAGAGAGAGAAAGAGAGAGCAAGAGAGAGAGTGTAAGCGAGAGCGAGCGAGAGAGATAGAGAGCGCGATAGTGAAACAGAGGAGAAATAGTGAACCGAATCGAAGAAGCAATTTGAGTGTGTGCGTGGAGATGGAGGGCCAAAATCCGTCAATCCGTCCGGATGAGCCCCCATTTCTCACCCTGAGGGGCGGCCGAGGCAGGGGATCGGGAGCCCATTCCGGAAAAATGACTGCCCCCCTGGGTTGAGAGCTGTCCACAGGTGTGGCCCGGAAGAGGGTTGAAGATGGAATAAACAAATATCTAAAAATTTCTTGAAGGGCTGTCTAGCAGAGATTCTTTAGGAAAAGGCAGGCTAGCAGAGATTCTTTAGGAAAGGGCAGGCTAGCAGAGATTCTTAAGGAAAGGGCAGGCTAGCAGAGATTCTTCAGGAAAGGGCAGGCTAGCAAAGATTCTCGTGTTTCCGGTCCAAATTTCACTCCAGAAAAGTCATCAATTACAATTAGCCACGCCCCGTTTCTAAGCTTCCACTCGCTCGTTACTCAAATTATGCAAATTAGGGGCGCACGACAAAAAGGGGGCCGGTGGGTGGAATTCCCGGTGGGACCCCGACCCCTTCTTGGGGGTCCCATGAAAAATCGGCGACCCGGGACAAGCGCCATTTCTCACAGGACTTTTCGGCCATGCGTGATGGATCTTGTTTTGTCATCCCCGCGCCAAACTGGGGCCAAGACAATGGCCCGGCTCTACTCCGAGTTGGAAAAATTGCACCCTCAAAAAAGCAACGAATCCAAAAAAAAAGAATATTGTATTAGCCGCCGAATTTTCCGGGGCAATCAGAGGGAAATCCGAGATTTTTTTTAGCTTTCCGGGTTCCTGGATCCCGCTGGGTGTTCTTTGACGCCTAAAAAATCTAGGGCTGGAAGAATTCTCTAGCGAACTCTGTTAGTGTACCTGTAACTGCTCTCTCACTCTCTCACTCTCTTTCTCACTCACATTCTCTCTCTTTCTCTCTTTCTCTCTCTTTCTCTCTCACTCTCTCGCTCTCTCTCTATTTCTATCTCTCTCAGAGATTCTTTAGAAAAGGGTAGGCTAGCAGCGATTATTTAGGAAAGCGCAGGCTAGCAGAGATTCTTTAGGAAAGGCAGGCTAGCAAAGACGCTTTGGGAATCCGTCGAACACAAATACTGACTCCTGCCGCTTGACGTCGCCAAAAATATGTTTGGCCCGGATGGATGGATTGAGCTTGAGTTTCCTGCTGTTCCCCAGGGAGCCTAGGCTTCAGTGAAGTGGGTTTTAAGAGGATCTCGCAGTCACCGCCACTTCAAATCCGCTTATATGGCTCTCGGGCAGATGGAACACGTTCTTTTGCGGCTCGCGGGCGGGCTAGCAGAGATTCTTTAGGAAAGGGCAGGCTAGCAGAGATTCTTTAGGAAAGGGCAGGCTAGCAGAGATTCTTTGTGAAAATTGCTAGCACCAACTAGCAAAGAGCATTTAGCATGCAGGAACTTCCGGAATTCCACAACCCTAATCCGTTCCTCCTTCGCCAAAGACCAAAAAACCCAGAAAAATAAGCAAACACGCAAAGCCATTTCAAAAGCCGCAGAGGAGACGACACGCCGACGACAAGGCTCGTCGGGAATGCATGCTTTAGGGCGGAAGGCGGGTAATAAACAAAAACTTCTTCTCTGTCTCTCGCTCTCTCTCGCTCTCTCTCTCTCCCGCCTTAGCTCCGAAAAGAGTTGGAGCCCTGCATGCCCCGGAAAGACGCCCATTTTTTAGGGTCGAATGGGCGAGTACGCACTAGGAATCTGGGGGGAATGACGAGGTAAAGAATAGCCTGGCCAGAAACTCGAGCTAGCAGAGATTCTTTGGGAAAGGCGAGGCCAGGAAGCGAGAGGGAGCGAGAGAGATAGAGATAGAGAGTGAGAGAGAGGCTTGAGGCTTAGGCTTAACTTAGGCTTAGGCGTAGCTTAAGCTTTAGCTGAGCATCCAGTGGTAGTAGTTTAAAAGCCTCTTAAACCCCAAATACTGATTTTGCGCCTAAACCCAAACCGTAAATAACGTAGCCTTCGCCTAGGTGTCAGGCTCAAATTTCCACACCACCCACTGGGGGTATTTTGAGGCCTCACTGAGCAGCAGCAGCAGAGTGGAGTAACCGAAAATGGAGGGTGGCCCACAAAACTCGCTAAGAGAAGAAGAAGTCACGGGTGCGAGGGCATGGAACAGTTGGCCCGAGCCGTACTTGAAATATGAGTGACAGGTCTCGCCTCCCGGGTGGGTCCCCCCACTTTGTTGGAGACAAAAACCGGGCGAGAAAGAAGAAAATGGTAGTAGAAAATCAAACTGCTAGCCTGACAATTCTTAACGAGTCTTCGCTAGCATGCCATTTCCTAAAGAAATGCTGCTAGCCTGCCTTTTCCTAAAGAGTCGTTGCTATCTTGCCAATTTCCAGAATTTTCCCGGGAGGCAGGCTAGCAGAGATTCTTTAGGAAAGGGCAGGCTAGCAGAGATTCTTTAGGAAAGGGCAGGCTAGCAGAGATTCTTTAGGAAAGGGCAGGCTAGCAGAGAGTCGTTAGGAAAAGACAGGCTAGCATCGTTTCTTTGGGGAAAGCCAGTCAGATCTACCCTGCCATTTTTCCAGCTTTTAAAACGAGCCAAGTCGGCGTTCTCTCAAAAAAAAAACAGCGCCCTTGAAAAGTCATAAAAGCGAACATTGCGACCTCCAGCTCCCCGGCGGGCGCAACTTTAATTTGGGTCCGGAAAGCCCGGCAAAAACAGGGGGGGGGGGCGTTCGTCCCGGGACCCGTTCCCCCCGTCTGAACTTTATTGGCCTCTCCTGGAGCCCCTAAAATTTTTTTGTCATTTTTTAGGTGGGGCTCCGGGATATGTTCCATATGCCCAGGGGCATACCATAAAATAGAGCATAAAATAGGGTATGAATTGAGGAATACGGTTACGGTATCGGCTAGCGGAGACCATTTAGGAATTCCGGGGCAAACGCAAAGATCTTTGCAGATTCTAGCAGAGATTCTTAGAGAATTCAGGGGCTAGCGAGCAGAGACCATTCGGGATACGCAGCAGATTAGCAGAGCTTTCCGGAAAGCGGGCAAGCTAGCAGAGATGCTTCGGGAAAACCCGGGCAAGCCAGCAGAGACCATCTGGCAACGCAGTAAAACAGATTGCTTGCTATCAGAGATTCTTGCGGAATTCCACTCGGAGAAAACAGGCTAGCAGAGGTCCTTTAGGAAACCGAGCTGGCTCGAGCAGGCTAGCAAAGATTCTTGAGGAAAAGTAAACCAAAAGCTCCAGCTCTTCAAGTGCCAAAATCTCGCCCCACGGCCACTTTCTTGGGGTCACAAATCGGGGGTGGGGTGGGCAAGAGTTGATGGCTATGAAAATGGGGCCAAAGGTGCCCTTTCGGGTTGAAGAATAATTGCCTCGTAATAAAGTCCAGAAGGACAATCACAGAGGAATATGAACGAAAGTGGGTGCAATGTGGAAAAGCATCTGGGCATGCAAGCAGTGATTATCTCTAGGAATTTGGGAGCACAGGTCAGGGGACGAAAAAGAGAGAGAGAGCGAGAGCGTCGCGGCTGCTCCCTTCGAAATTCAACATAATTTTTGACTCCACGTCGCGGCGGTTCTTCGAAATTCAACATAATTTTTGATCTGCCCTTCTGAAATTCAATATAATTTTTGACTCCATCGTCGGCGGGGTTCTCTGGGGAATTCAATAACATAATTTTGACTCCACGTCGCGGCTGCTCCCTTCGAAATTCAACTTATACTTTTTTTTTGACCTCCACGTTTCGGCTGCTCCCTTCGAATTCAATAGCAATTTTTGACCCGCCCCTTCGAAATTCAACATATTCCTTGACTCA